TAAGGTTATTACCTTTAAGTAATAGAGAGATAAGTTATAAAATAAGCTTTAAGCTAATTATAACTAGTATATAGAAGAGATAGATAAGAATACTAAGAAAACTATTATAGTCTATATATATATATAAATAGAAAAAAATATATACTAGACTTTCTATATAATTCTATATACTCTAAGAAATAGTAGTATATAGATTTCTTATTACGTAGTAAGATATAAGTAACGTACTTTATAAGTAAACTAACTATATAAGTAAGCTAACTACTTTTACTAAGTCTCTACTAAAAATTATCTTAACTACTATAAGTCTAGCTATCTACGTAGAATTATTCTCTTATAAAGCTAGAATATAGCTTACTCTTTCTACTCTCTAGACTAGCTAAATCTAGAGCGAATAACACGTCGTAGCTATATATAGAGTCTATTAATTAACGCTAAAGAACTAATATAATAAAGTAACTAAAAGGCGTAAAAAGATACCTAATTTAATAAAGCTTACTATAAATAAAGAGTAGGTAATAATTAACTATATACTTAATCTAGACGCGTAAGAATTTACTCTCTAGCTTGCTACTATTTAAGATATAGCTAATTAGCTACTTACTAAGTAGAGAGAAAAGGTTATAGGTAAGAACTAGCTAAACAACTTTATTAAGCGCTATTCTAAGCTTAAAACGCGGCTTAATCGTAAGTATAACTATTAGAGAGTAAAGTAAGAAGATTCTACAATTATTTAGGCGTAGTTTAACCTAGTAGGTAATATAAAGGTAAAATATAGTATTACTAACAAAGATACGTATAACTTTAATAAATCTAGCTTTATAATAGAAATAATATTACCTTAGGTAGTAGTTACTAGCTCTAAGAGATAATCGCGACTAAAGAGCCTTTAACTAGGTAATTATAAGTAGATTTTAGTAATTATAATAGTAAGAGTAGTAGGCGATATATAGGTTCTACTATTTCTTATTATTATAAGTAAGAACTACCTCTTAGCGTAGTATAAAGGTAGCTAGCTACTACGCAACTAGGTTATAGCTATCTCTAAAAGCGGCTAGATAATAAATAAAGTTAGTATTACGTAGTTAAAGTACTTTAACGCGTATACTAAGAGTTACGTTATAGGCGTATATTACCTACTAATTTTAGATAGCTATAAAAGCTATAGCTCTATTAAATTCTAATAGTACTATAAGAAGAATAAAATTATAGCTCTCTATATACTAGTATATTTATTATACCTTCTATAGCTACTTAACGTTAGCTACTTCTTACTATTAAAGGTAGTATATAGCTACTAAGTTAAAATTCTAATACGTAGCTATATTAACTATATTATAAAAACTAAGTTTCTACTCGTATTTTACGCAGCTTTTTACGCGTTAATTATAGATAATAATATTAGAATAGAATTTAGAGACGCTAGCTTAGTTCTATTTAATCTAGATTTAGTAGTATTAAAGCTTAAAGTTTAATTACGTACGCTAATACTCTCTACTACTAATACTACTATCTAGAAGTATAAAACACCTAGTAATCTTATTAAAGTAAGGTTCTAATTAACTCTAATTTAATTAAAGATTATATAGCACCTTAATTTATTACTAACTTATATTATTAAGTTACTTAATTAGCTTAAGAAAGGTAATAAGCTAATAGCGTATTAGCTAGTACTTATAGAGTCTAAAGTCGCCTAGCTTTAAGTAGCTAACGTATAGAAAAAAAAGCGTAATTCGCGTAAAAAAAAGTAAATTTAAAAAGAGAATACTCTTATAATTAAAGCTAGCTTATAGCTAGTTACTTAAAGAAAGACTACAAATTAGAATAAGAGTAAGAAGTAGCGTAAAGAGGTAGTAGTACGTAATAACTAGCTAGCTTAGCAATGCTATAGACGCTATAGTAAGCTAGAGTATAACGCGTAAATATACTAGATAGTTAAAGATAATATAGATAAGTTAGATAGCTTATCTAGATTTATTTTAAGTAGCTTAGAGTTAGAGAAATCTAAATAAGATAGCGGCTTTTTAGCAGAGGCTTAGTATTTTTAGAAAGTTTACTTATATAGAGAGTTTACTTATAAAGTACGTTATATAATATCTTTTATACTAATTAGCTATAAAAAGTCTTAGAACTATTACTAGATTAAGTAGAGTCTAAGTAGCTATCTATTAAAGTTATTAGTAATCTAGAGTAGCTAGTATATAAAATACTAGATAGCTATCTTTATTAAGATTATTTTTAATACTAAGCTATATAGGTTACTTATAATTCTAGCTCTACCTAGTATAATATTATAGACTTTATTAATACTTTCTATAAGATAAGAGACTTTTATATAGTATATTTAAATAAGCTAAAGCTACTATTATAATTAGATACTTAAATTAAAGTATATAAAAAAGAGAAGACTTTATAGAAAATAGTAGAGAATTTAAAATCTATATAGATAGAAGATATAAGAGTAATATAAAGACGCTACTAAGTAAAGCTAAAAGTAATTTAGTAATAAGATTAGTAGCTAGAATAGTTTTAGAGATATATTTTAGAGCTTAAGAATAAGCTCTCTCTATAAAAGAGAGTAATATAATAGTCTAGCTTAGTATTTACTAAAGTTATATAATCTTATCTAAGTTATATAATTTTATCTAGTATCTTACCACTTAGCTCTTTATATATAAAGAGCTTATAGAGTATTCTTCTACTTCTTACCTTTAGATAGCTAAATTTAACCTAACTTACTCTACTAGCATCTCTATTCTTATAGCTTATAGAGATAGTACTACTTATAGCTAACTTATCTAGCTAGATATTCTAGAACGCTTATAGTAGTAAAGACTATAAAGCTAGCTCTTATACTTAATCTCTTAGAGAATAAGACTATTATCTCTCTAGTAAGACTCTAGTAATAGACTAACGCTTAGTTAATTATCTTCTAATACGTAAGCCTCTAGCCTATTATCTTAAAGAAGAGAGCGAAACTAATACTACTAGCTACTAATAAAGTCGCTATTATAGTATAGAAGGCGAGTAATAATAAGATAATAATATATTAGTAGTATTCTATAATATATTACTATAGGCATAAGAATACCTAGTAAATTACTTTAATTAGAATATAAGTAATACCTCTATTCTACTATTCTAGTTACTTACTAACTTAAGGTACTGCAATAGCGATAACCTTAAGCTACACCTAGATAAGTTCTACTAGAGGTAGACACGCGTAGCAAAGCGTTACCTGTCGTCTATATAACCTATAGCTGTTGCTATAAAGCTCGTCTTTAAGTTAGATAAAGCTAAAGGCTTCTTCTTTCTAGCTACCTTGCGGGACACAATAGACACGGTAATTAACAACCTAGCCACTCGCAACCTGCTTTCGCCACTATTAAGCTAAAGATTCTCGACATCGCCGAGAAACACTCGCTTAACTTAGTCGACTTGACTGCGGCATATGCCGTCTGCTAATCCGCCGCCCGCTTAACGGCCCCTAGAAAATTCCTTGGGTCCTTTAGAATGCACATAGTGTCGAAAGCATAACCTTACCTTTGTTAGACACATCTATACTAACTGCAACGAGCTCCGTAAACATAAGAAGCAATAGTAGAAGAAAGCTCTGCCAAAGAGGGACACGCGCAGCGGAAAACGGCAGAAGGCGAACAACGCTGAGGCTGTGGACGCTAACGATTCTAGGGATAGTAGCGACGAAGTCGCCGCCTTTGCGAGCATCGTCGACTTAACGACACCTTTGCCGCAAATAGCGAATACGGCGGTAGCCCGCCTTAACGACAACGGTAAGCGCCGTCGTGATAACACTAAAGTAAGTACCTACTCTACTATTTGTAAACTCTTAGCCTCTAACCCGCTGTTATAGTTGTTTAATACTAGTGCCTTACGGCATATGTCTAGCTGCTACGATGACTTCGTGTCCCTGTTACTAAAACGGAGAACGATATCTGCGGTATTAAGCTTTCTGTCTACGGCGTTAGTATAGTACGTATACGCTGCAGGCTACCTAACAGATCTACTTAGATTGCTAAACTAACTAACACGCTCTATAGTAGTAAATTGTATAACACCTGCCTATTCTTGTAGGGCTACGTCTAACGTAACAGCTACTACCTCTACGCACACAAAGACAGCCTATTCTTGTAAAAGAATAGGAAATACGCTGTGGACAAGACACCTAAACGAAGTTATCGAAATACAGGCTAACGCTCTGCCACCCGCTGCACTACTAGCAAATAATTAAGCCTATCGGGCATTTACGATTATTAACTATACCGCTGCCGCACCGCCGTCTCTACCGATACTAGCGGATACTAATAGGGGTTCTCGAAAAGGCTTTCTAACAACCCCTATACTACACACATTAAGTAGTCCGCGATATCGGCGGAACCTAATAGAGGTTCTAAGAAATTCTTCTCGCAAACCTCTACGGCATCTGTGTCGTTCGTACTATACGAGGAGTTTTACTATAGTATAGGCTATCTAATAATTCCTAATCCTAATTAGTTGTACGGGCACCTAGTGCGCTAAAGCCCGCCTACTTAAACGTTTCGAGGTTATTTATACTAACCTGTTGGGTAAGTTCTCCCGCCGCAGCCTTAGCGGAGCTTAATACTATATATTATTTATCGACGACGCAACTTAATATTGCTAGGTTAAGTTCCTCGAACGGAAAGCTAATGCTCTACAGGTTATTATAGACCTTGTTACCTACGTGAACACACAGTTTAGCGACGAACATCTATCTATTAAGCATATTAACATATCGCCACTAGTAAAACGAATCAAGTTGAACAATAGCGGCGAATATCTTGCTACCCGCCTCTAAGACTTCCTGCGGCGGAAGGGGATTATCTATAACACCGTCCCGCCGTATTATTAACGGCGTCGCGGAGCGGTTTAATTAATTAACTAGTGCTTTCGTTGGTAAGAAGGAAGAGGAACTCGTGACCGTTAAGCAATTCTCTAAGCGGCTAATCCAACCTAGCTCGCATTTAAGCAAGTGCTTTGAGTAGTTTAGTGTAATTAACGAAGAACTTTGCGTATACTAAAGAGACGACCCTATATGTCTCTCTAGTGTTAAAGAGACTTCTACGTAGCTGGGCGTCTTTAACGTAACTAATTAGAGATGCGTGCATAACAGCCTCCGCATGCTTGCGAATAAAGTCGAGGCTTACAGCGCCAATACTATCTGTAATAATATAAGCACTGCCTAGTATTATAAACCTAGGACACACTTACTTCTAAAAGCTTTCGCGGCGGGATAGAAACTTATAAGGCCGTAAATTTCGTTATTATCCTGTCCAATTTAATCTATTCTTATTAAGACTAAGCCTAGGCGCTTCGTTAGTCGCGGCGGCGCTAGCGCGCGCTCCTTAATCGACGCTGCGCCGTGCGTTAGCCGTTTGGGGCGAATTCTATTGCCTATGAATTTAAGCACGGATAGGTAAGGAGAGAGGCGAGAGTAAAAGAGAGCAAAGGTAAGCGTGTTAGTAGGAGTGTTGGTGAAGAACGGAAAGAGAGTATATTAGTAAGGCGATTGCACCACGCTTACGAGGTTGTAGCATTCTATCTACGTAAAATGCGAACTTAAAAGCTTTCTTCTCTTCTCTAATTCCCTGATTAATGCCGCAGTTCTCCGCAAAGAAGTCGCGCGATAGGCAGTAAGAGCACTTTCGCACACTTAAAGCGGCTCGTTTAGTTGTCCGCTAGCGTGGCTAACTTCTTGCATGCCCCTACTTGCGTTAAGCACGAAGTTCGATTGTAGAAGAATAAAAATGTTAAACAAGCTTAGAAGTTTAAGACTATGGCCCTGCAGCTACCTAAGCAAGGTGCTAGCGTGAAGTCTATAAGGGATCGCAGCGTGTTGCATAGAAGGATAGTAGAACTAGCGCTAGAAGTAACACAATACCTGCCCTATAAACTAAGCTAGCAGTTAACAGAGAACATTAGACGAGATATTAGTTTTAGGCTCTTCGTAGAAGTCCTATCTTTTTATGGTGTTCTGAAGCTTCTCTAGGAATAGGTTAATATTATGGTAATCCTTGTAATTGGTAACTAGTAGGTAGTAATCCTTAAATACTTTAACTAGAAGCTTCGCGTAATCTTTAAACATAAGAGTTGCGTTGTCCCTATACTCCTGCGTGTCTTTCGTGGCAATATCGCGCGATAGGGTAGGACTAGTAACAAGAAGCTCTTTTATTAACTATTAAAGACCGCGACGTTAAACACTCCGTTTTTGAACAAGGCGTCGAAGGATTGTTCGCTCAGCCCTTGAACATCGTTTGTGATTTCGAATTTCTCGGGATAGTTGTAGGAATTAACTAGCGGCCCTTTTTAGGACGCGACTTTGTTTTTAATTCGGATTTTCGGGGTAGCACGTGGCGTTTCGATCTGAAAGGCACTAGTTCGCTTGCTTAGATTCGAGCAGCGAGTGCAGGATCGGTAGAACACTATTGTACGTTAGTGAGAAGGGTCTACGGGCCTTACTACTAAAGTCTAGCAAAGAACATTGCTAAGAATATATGTCTGTTACGTTCCTATCTGTCTTAATAATATAAAGCTCGATCCGACTATGTTTTAACAACTTTCTCTGCTACCTAGGGTTTACTACCTAGGTACTGTAACAGCGCAGGAAACTTAGAATCTAATAGCGCGAAGAAGAAGCAATTAACAGAAACACGTCGCACTCTAGGGAGCGCAGGCGCACCTATCGCGGGCTATCTTGTCCCTTAAAGATAGCCCTAATAACCTTTTTAACCCTGCGCTAGAGCGGATAATGCACCGCAAGACGCGCTAGCACATCTTGGCTTTTAGGCGGCTAAACGCGGCGTCCTTAAGATCGAGCTTTCTCGCGTGCTTCTTGATAAGATTAAGTTGCTTACTACCTAATCGCTGTTATACATGGCAACAGAGCTTCTCCGTTTAATGTTAGGAGGCACCAAGGCAGCGAAACAGAGATTCTCTACTTAGAGATTCTCTAATGCTCTGTTTCTATTGTAATTAGATTCGATATGTGCCATAGAGGCCGGCCTTAACCTCTATTTAAATCTAAGCTGCACGCAATTAAGCTCGAGTTACGTACTACTAGAGGTATGCGATGCTAGATGCGAAGTTAGCTCGACTATTACGGCATGTTACAACGGTTACGTCTGCGCCTGTATTACCTTGCCGCAGTAAGAGATTAGCAGAAAAAGAAGTACTAGGGAGTAACGTAGTTACATCTGCGCGTGTATTAAGTTAGCGCAGAAAGAGACTTGCGTTAAGGAAGAGTAATAGGAACGAGTAGGGAAAATAGCCACCACCGTATCTAGAATTAACGAGTTTGCTTTAGCATGAATATCTACGTCCTTATTACTGCTTATTAGCTGCGCTAGTGCAGAATTACAGCACTTTAATCGTTCTAGAACAATTATACTACTACTGTACCTATAGACATGCCTTTTGCAAACCCTACCAGCCACGATATAGCGAAGCTAACCTTCTTAGAGTCTCGTAGTAGCTACTCTAACTACTAGAGGTCTGTACTACCTATTTTAACTACTACTTGTCTTCCTACAAAGAGTGATTAGGCTGCCTAGGCGAAAAACGTAATATTCTAATATAAATAGATTTTTATTAGCACTGTTCTCTAGAGATAATATAAATGGCACTAGACGCATACCTATCGTTGTTATTAATCTTTATCTAAGACGAGTATTAAGCGTCCGAGTCGCGAACAAGCTTGTTAAAATAATCTTTAAAATGCACACATTAGGAACACTAAGCGTAAAACCGTCGTTTATAATACGTGCAAGACTAAGATTATAAAGAGTGTACAAGGCCGACTAGAAGCTCGTAAGACTAAGTAAGATAACTGTAATAGTCTAATTAGGATAGAACTAAACGTAATTGTGCAGAATTCTATCGCTTATCTCTCTTATATACTAATTAACTGCAAAGTTTTTGTAATATAGTTAAAGGTATTTAGTAGTATGTTGTAGGTTAGCTGTTGCGTGTAGAGCCCCGCGCAGGTTCTAATCTAGCTTAAGACGCATGACGGACATCTTGAATTCGAACTGCTAGAGGTAAGAGTAGAGAGCGGGGTAAGAGTTCGAAAGCTCTTTCGTCCTCTAGAGACGCGGGACGGTTCTAGTTGCTGCCGCGTATAATAATGCGCAAGAATTATAGCTTCGAACTAGATAAAGGGCCACGTGACCTCTAGGACGATAGAGCCTAAACTAGTTTCTTTTTAAGCCCCGACGCTAGGACTTAGTTTCTAGGAAGATAGGCTCTAAAATAGAACTGCTATAAAGAAATGTCCTAGTACTTAATACGTAGGAAGGTAGCTTAAGGAAAGCCTACTATAGAAGCACACTAGCAGCTCTAGTCCTTTCTTAAGCCCGCATTTAATTCTAACTTGGCATTGCTTAACTACCTTTTTAAAACGTAGGCTTAGGAAGGCCGCGTGCGCTAACATTACTTACAAAGAATTAATTACTACATTGACGCGCTTCCCTCGCTTTTAAGCAGAACGATACTCCTTCGCGGTTAAGCAGACTAGCTAAGGTGCGATGTCGACCACGGTTGTGTCTTCGGCTGTTAAACCGCACATGCCCGGCCTGCAAAGCAGCGTACAATAATACCTATTCTAAGTAACATTTTCTCTAGACTTATTAGACACGATGTAATAACCTTCTTTACTAATACTCTCTTAATATCTTCTTCCTGCGCGTAGTTTAGTTGACAAACGCTCCAGGAATCTGGCGAAGAGTTTTACGCCGTCTCTTGAGAACTGGCAGGTCTTGCATAGGCGGTAGTCCTATGGGAACTTAGCGAGAGGACGGTGGCAAGATAGATAAGGACGGCAAGAAGAGGACAAGGTTGGTGTAGGAATAAAGAATAGGTGTCTATTGTTAGGACAGGACTTGTAACTAATAAGCCGCGCGGGGACGAAGGCAGAGGCTTAGCACCTTAGTTAATTAGCTAACTATTCTAGCCCGTTAGCAGTAAGGCTGATTTAGGCAGCAACCTTAAATTTTATTAGCTGTGCGCTGTCCGTTTCTGTTGGATTTAACTAGAGCACTAGTCTAAATTTAGCAAGCGGCGCCTACTACACCGCGCCTGTGCACGAAAAGCATAGGCGCACGTAGGCGTAATTTACTAAGCAGAATCTATTACAGTTAGTAAGTTAGAGAAAACCTTGCCCCTCTTCTACAACCTCCTATCTTCGACCTTCTTTCCCTATCCTTAATATCTTTATCTCTAACGTTTCTCCTATATTAGCTCTCCTCTTTTTATTATTTCTAAACAGATAGACGTCGAACTAATCGCTAGTATTGTCTAAGCTATGCCTCTATTTTTCGACTAAGTCTAACTTTACGAAGCCCTGCAAACCTAAGCTATTCCTATTCTTAAGGCACTTGCTGCAAACGACAATCTACGCAACTATTTATTTAGACGCTTTAAACGCGACGATCCTCCGCTCTACGCATTGTCGACTAAGTTAGAAGAGTTTAACAATAATTCCCTTACGCCACTACTACCACTACTACGCGGCGAGCTACTAGAAGAGCTAAAAGCTATTATAGAGCAACTAATTAGCGACGATAAAATAAAGCATATTGCATTTAACATAGGATCTATTATAGACCCGGTCGATTTCTATTACACGGAAGCGAAGAGAGAGGAAGACTAAGTAGAGAAATACTAGTCGAACAAGATATTTTAAGGAGTAGAGGGCTCTTGGCGACGTGGTGTCTTCGTTCGTCACAATGTTAAGCGCCGCTAGGAGAAACTTAGTGTCTAGAATCCTGAGTAGGGGTTTGCTAGGCGCAACGTGCAGCCTAATAACAACGCCTATAGGTAGAAGTAGAGGTAGGAACAACAAACTGCTAATAACTCTAAGTCTGCTAGCTACGCGAGGGATGCACATATAGAGCAGCTTGTTGCCCGTGCCCTACGCCTACGCTAGAATCTATGCCGTGGTAAGAATGCCCCTGTGCTCCCACGGTCTTGCCTCGAACAAGATGCGACTACTTTCTAGGCCGAGTTATTTATTATTTCTAGACCTTGGTTTATATTTTAGATTAAATTAGCTAAAGAAAGGACGAGGTACGATCGCCTCTCTGTTAATAAACAAAGGCGCTATCTATACTCGGCCTAGAAGCAAGTTATTAAGTAGTGGAAGGAGCGTAAAGACTAGAGGAAGGAGTTCGACAGAAGGAACTAGGTTACTTCCTAGAAATGGTGGCACGAGTCTCTCTTCCTAGAGCCTAAGAATCTTATACCTATTAACAACATAAAAGACAGTCCGCTAGACACTACGGACATAGACTTTACTCTCTCTAAGATTGATAATCTAGAGACTATTAAGCGTCCGAGTTCCAAACAACTAAAGGGATTCTAGACTATATAGCGGAAGGACTTAGGCCTGTGGGCCCCCTTTCCTAGACAGCTTCTAGAACCTTTCTAACCGCCTCCCCTACCTCCCGGGTCTCTTCTCTACGCGCCCCTAGGATTACTACCTTCTAGGCGTTCTATCTTCGAGAAGACACCGTTAGAAGAGGAGCGTAATAAAATATTGTTAGAAGAGTATAAAGACTCGCTACAAAAGCTAGAGCAGAACCTACTAGAGCTACAACAAGACACTACTAGCCCTCTACCACAGAAGCTACGGCGTTAGCGCTAGCGCTAACTGCAAGACAGTGTGGATAGTACGCAAGACTAGGACTAGCCCTCGCTACTACCTCGACGCAGTGCTAGAATCGCAGGCATAAAACGCCCCGCCGAGCTACTGCATTCGCAGGCGGCATTAAACAAGAAACCTAGGGGCAGAGCAGCACTAAAGGCTGCAGCGCCTGCTACTTAGCCTACTACGCAGGGGACTTAACGCAGGAAGACAAGGCCCGTCCTAGCGCGCCCTCTACTAAAGATTAAGACGGAAACTCGACCTAAGCGAGGGCAGGGACGTTTAAGAAAGAAGAATAGGCCAAGCACGCGTTCTGCCGTAAGAAAGAAAAAAGCGGCTAGAAAAGAAGAGGCTGCGGCAACGGACATGCTAGTAGTGCCTTGGCGACAGGGGAGACTAAGAAAGAATAAATAATATAAATAGATGTAGGATTACTTAAGTATATCTAGCGCTAGAGACTAGGGCTATAATTATAGTTTATATTATAAAGATAGAGAGCTAGTAACTATACGATATGTAGAAGGCTATGCCGGGTAGGTTTAAGTAGACGGGACAGCTTAAATTCTTACCGCAGATTCTGCGGTTGTTAGAGTACTAGCGAGCGAGCTATAGAGTAGTACATCTCTAGGCTTAGCCGTATACCTAAATTCTAGCGCAACAGGACAGGAGCTAACGTGCTGTTCGAGGATCTTCGACGTTATTATGCCTATATTCTCGCACTGCGTCTACAGATTCTCGATAGTGTATGTTAGGTTGGCTTACGCGACTAGCTTCTCGTTGGTAGGTAGAGGCGTTAAAGGGTGGTTCCTAGCGATTACGCCAAGCCAGGACGCTCTATTATAGAGCTTAGGCTAAAGCTACGGCGTAACGCTTAACCTTCTTAAGCATAGAGTCGCCCTACTAACTTTAAGCAACTAATTACGTTGCGCTGCACAACTTAATTGTCGCGCCGTCTCTACATCTCGCATCGTACACGTCTAGCTCTATGCACTACGTAGGTACTTTAATGCTTTTTCTAGAACGGCTTATAATAGCTAACGTCCTACCTAAAGACATGCCTTCTAAGCTCTAGTTTAGCTGCGCGCTAATTCTTACTACCGCTGCCCGCACACTCTAGAATAACAGACTATTAAGTTATTAAACATCCCTCCGCACTTCTCTCGACGTTTAACTCCGCTGTTATCTACAGATAGCTCGCCGACGAGCCTCGCTCTAGCCCTTCTAACAACGCCCGTAGTCTATGCTAACGGGGAACACCTAAGCGATGTTGACAGCTTTAGTCTGCGCATACGAACATAAGCTATAGCTTGCTACGGCAGAAGGAGAGCAAGAAATAATAGGCGTTAGACCTTTAGTAGGATAACCTAGTATAACATGTAGAAGGCTACGCTAAGTAGGTTTAAGCGGACTGGGCGAAGAATTCTTCCCGTCTCTATTAGCGGTCTTTTTGGACGACGAGATAGCTAAGAAGGGGTGTAAAGGTGTTAGATAAGGACTCTATTCGCTTACTACACTAGAAAGTGCTATGTTTAGAATCTAGCTAGAGCTAGGAACTAGAAAAAGGTATTAACTAGGGCTAAACGGGATACGTCTTAGAATAGCTAGGGTTAAGAACAGGAACTAGTAATCACGCCTATGTCCTGTTATAGAAACACGGCCTAGAGTAATCGAATAGTATACTAACTTAATTTAGAAACGGAGGACTAGTTTAGGGCTCTGGCGGTTGTAATTAAAGGCCTAGAATTAAGCACCTCGACTTAAAGCTTTGGTTACGCCTGAATCTTCCTCGAGTCCTCTTAAGACATAGCTAATCCGCTATTTGTCTAGCTAATCGCAGTCTATTAATCCTCTCTACCCTCTAATCCGTGTTTCTACTCTTACTAATCCTACCCGCTATAAACCTATTGGCCGTAACACTAACTACGTTCTTTATACTCGCATTACAACTATTAGGTTAGGAAGAGAGGGTTGTAGAGAACTGCGAGTTACTTTAGCTAGTAGAAGAGTTTATAGCGAAGGTACTAAAGCTAGAGTATAGTCTAGCTAAGATTATGTCGCTTTTGCTAGCAAACAAGCATTTACTCTACTATGCTATTACTAGTGTAGCTATGTAGAGGAGAGAACAGAGTAGAATAACATTGTAAGCGCTTGATAAGTTTGGAGACTACTGTTGTGTCTAGAGGATTTAGGCCGATGCAGCCGCCTTTAGTAGGGTAGTAGAAAGGTAGGAGTCTTAAGAACGCTAGGGCTAGTGCAGTGTAATAGAGTACATTCCTTTTAGATCGTTTACACGTAACTAGCACTGCTTAGAAGTTCGAATAAGAAACACACCCTTGTCCCTCTAACTTATTTAACTTATCCTACGCTGCCTAAAGTATCTCTTTTATCTTAACATACAGCTTCGTATCTAGGTCTCTCTACCTCCTACCTTTAGGAAATATACTTCTCCTTAATCTGTTAATGCAAGAGATTAGTAACTAGTAGTATAGTGTAAAGTTTTTGCCTGCAGTCCTAAGAAAATCCGTTTTATTATCTACTACGCCCTTTCTCGAACTAGTTAATTCCTCTACGTCCGGGTAATTCTACTTGTTAAATCGCAGAACGATTCTCTGCTAGGTTAGCCTATTATAGTGAATGCATATTTAGGATAGCCCCTAGAAGAACGATTCTAGATCGTGCATGAAGGAATAACCACGTTTTAGTCCCCGCGGTAGGTTCTAAGCTAGGTTCTAGATTTCAACCTCCCTAGATCTAATTAGATCGTGGCCTGTGCGTTAAACCTCTTAGCGATAACGCCTACCTTAACGTCTTTGTTTATCTATACTAGAAAATTAAGCGTCTCCGGCACTGCACGAGAGGCGTTAAATATTTTAAGGTATAACGTTAGAAGGAGTAGAAGTAGTTGTAACTAGGGGGTTAAGGTATAGCACTAACGCGGAGATAAGCTAGTTATCTATCCTCTACTTTCTCTTTACCCTTACAATCCTTACAGCCACCCCACTTAACGCTTAAATCGAAGATTTTCTGCTCTGTTGCTAACACTCTTAGAGTGAACGGACCGTCTAACTCCTTAGAGACCGCCCCCTTTGTTGTATCCGCACCTCGCAAGACCTCGCACCTCGTACCTCTACAATACAGAATTATCTTATACGGGTTATCTTAGATAGAAACATGCTTGCTAAACAAGCACGGGCGGACTCTGTTCTGCGTCCTAATATTCACTCTAAGAGGGATTTAACAACTCTTAGTAAAGTCACGGATTATAAGACTAGAAAATTCCTCTAGTCTACCTTTACCTACGTCGACAAAGAGGATATTGCATAGTTTAGTTAGGTGCCTGGAATACAAAAGTACGACTTAATAGTTAAGGACCTTAAACAAGAGCTACGAAGAATTTCTAACGAGAAGATTTATCTACTACACACGTGGATGTCTGTTATGCTAGACGCGGATCGAAAGAACCTCTTTATTAAACGCTCTAAAATATTATGTGCTAACAACGAATACGAGGTTAAGCTCGTGCCGCAGATACTTCTCGAAGAAGCTAAGATCTTAGAATTTCTCGAACAACATCGCTATCTAAATATTATTAGATATTACGGATGTACTGTTAATCGCGGCTGTATCACCGGGCTCGCCCTTAAAAGACACGAAGTTATCTTGCAATATTGTTACGAGGATGTTCCACATAATCTTAATATTGCTGCTTGCATGGCCGGCATCCGTGCTAGCGTGCGGCACCTCTATTCTCTTAGGCTCGCACATAATAACCTTAATCTAACAAACATTGCCCTTAATAGCAATAACAATTTAATTATACTTAACTTTAGGTCTTATAAAAAGTTTAGCGAGAAACTTCTTTTAGAAGGCACGTATAGCTAGATAGACGAGAATTACTCTACATCTGCCTAACGTTATAATAAATCCGCGATAGACAAAATAGAAGCATAGCTAATAGAGAAGAAAAACAAAAGAGCATAAGAGTATATAACTAACATATAGCTTGCAGGCTAGTTATGCCTAAGCTAATTATTAGTCCTAATTAAGGTATAACTTCCCCGCCTTTCTTACCTTTCTAATAGGTCGTTTAAAACGTCTATTGCGAATCGTGGGCCGCTTGTGTCTTTAAAGTCCTACGATTTAGGTTGCTGTTAGATGTTAGGCAAGTGCTCCTCCTACAATTACGTCTCGTAACCTCTATTCGCGTTCGTCTTTAGCCCTGCTTGTTATACTAGACCACGATCGTAGTAGTGTGCGTGCACCTTGCTCTATGTTAGCATAGAACGTAGAAAATAAGATATCGTAGCTTACATTAAGAAGGTAGGCTTAAGAGATCTAATACCGTATCTGTAGGTGTTAAGAGAGAAGGATATTTATCTCGGACACTCTTTTCCTCTACTTCTAATCGTGCACGTAGGGTAGAGCGCGATTGCTAAGTTAGCTAGCGTGTAGCCCCGCCGAGACGAATGTAGCTTACTGCCTAAGCTACTACCTAGCTACTTCTAGGCGCGCGTAGCAACATTTTCTTTTACTACCCGCTAGCTTTTCTTACCCCGAATATAACGTTATACTATCTTTCTCTGCTTCGCGCTCTGCTCTACGTTTCCCCTAATTAGAACTTCTTCTGTCTAACAAGCACTAGACACAGCAAGGAGGATCCCGTTATCTCGCTCTAGTACTATTAGCCATGCCTAATGTCCTCTACACTCTTAACAACGCTATTGATAGCTTCTTTTTAGAGGCTAGTACGTCGTTGTCTAAGATACAATGCGATAACTTTGTCCGCCGAAGATATAGAGGACAAATCTAGCTAGTTAACATCTAAGGCTTAACTAGCTATACTGTAATTGCCGGCCTAAGCGGCAACAAGATTATTTAATTTTGAGAGCAGACTGCTTTGCTAGACATAACCATGTTAGAGTTAGTAAAAGACATTTACGGAGATGTTGTGCCTAGCTGTTCTAAGCTTAGGTAGGTTAGCGATCTAAGCGGCTTACCGCTAGCAATATACGAGATAAACAGGCTCCGCGAAGAGAACTATATTATTGCTCGCCCCTCTCTTACACGCGATAAACGAGTAAATACTGTGCATAGCCTAGCGAGGTTTGTTAAGTACTATATCTTTACCTCTTCTCTTCGCGTTAACCTGCTAACATAAAATAGAAGTTTCTTTGCGCAGTCGTGGTAAAAGGGCAGGCTAGTAAGTTCGAGATTAGCTAATATGTCTGTTATTAGCACTAAATGCTACGCTAGGTTTGAATACCTAGCCAACACCCTCCTAAAACGCTTCTTGCCAGCTGTTACTAAAATACAAGCTGTCCTACTAGCGCTCCTTAATAGATGCTATCTAGTAGTTCTTACGCACAGCGACCTTAACAAGATAAACATCCTAGTCGATTCTAACAGCGGCGAAATTATAGGCGTTGTTAACTAGCTTGGCGCGAGTATTCTACCCTTCGGCTTTACTCTCTACGCACTAGAGAACGCCCTTAGTAGCATAGGCTCTAGCAGATAGAAATAGTTCGACAACGTGGATAACCTAAGGGATACATTCTAGACGGCCTTTAGAGAGCAGACTGGCTTGTCTAAGCCTTAAACGAGACTTATAAAACTTACAGGAAAGGCTAGTATTCTTATCTGCTACGGCACCGCCTACGACAGCGGCTTCCCTAGAATAATAGGGGTTCGAGACTTAAACGCTAAGGACCTTAGATACCTTAACGCGCTCCTTTTCTAAGAGCTATTCCCTACGCTTAGGCCCGTTCACGAGGGCGCGTCGCTAAAGGTGGCAACACAGGTAAAGTTCTTAGGGCAGCAACACAGATTAGCTTCGACAGTCCTATGGCGTCTGGCGACTTATAGGCGGGTCTAATTAGGCGTAGGGCGGCGAGAAGTAGAGGTGGAGAGTCGTGGGGACAAGGCGCTAGCCGGGGTGCGGGTTTGTGCAGAAGGGCTTCTTGTTAGTTAGCGAAGGCGTTAACGGCGGATCTGCTAGGCTAGAAGGCGGTAGGGCATGTTAGTGCACGGTTTAGAGAAGTCTACGATATAGCATAGCCATAAGTTATGCTGTATCGCGAAGGTTGCTTATAGCTGTCGCGCAGACTAATAGAGAATTTACAAGACTCTGCGCTCTAGTTAGACTTAGTAACAGCGCTATATATCCGCTAGGTCGTATAACGTGTCTGTGGCTAGTGCTGCGCTAAGGGCGGACGCTTAACACTAAGCCAAAACAACCTTTTTCGTCCCTAGATAGGACTATAGCCTAGATCTGCGCACCTCCGTGGCAACTGCTAGGGCGAGCTCTGCTAACACTAAAAGTCTAACTCTACGGCCTAATCCCTTTTTATGCGTACTAATAAAACTGCTCTATCTCTGCTTATGCGAGGGGCGTTGGATACCCTAGAGCCTAGAATGCCTCTAGATTGGGTAGAAAGCTAACTGTTTAGGGTTGCCAAGAAAATCCCGCTCGTTACTAAAATAGCGTATCTAATCGCGTTCTGTACGCTATGCATTAACAGCTCTCCTATCCTCTGTCTGCTATGGCTACCTCCTCTCTCCCCTTCTTCTCCTCGCCCTCCCTGAATCGAATCTAAGACTGGCTGCGCGACTCTCTAGACCCAGCGCTTACTGCATCGCCGTTCCGGCCCCTAACTTCTCCGAAATCGCTAGCTGCTATAGCTCTACGACTGTTAAGCGCACCGTCTTGACAGCAACGGGTAGTGCAAACTAAGTCGCTATCTTATAGAGCTGCGGACCGCCTACCCCTTAAATTCGCTTTCCCTAATAACTATGCCCTCGAAGCTATTGTCCGACGACGCTATAACGCGACACGGACGGCTAAGAAGGCAGCTAGGTAGTGCTCTTAAGGGCGGCTACATTCTAGGGGGTCTAAAGAACGCGATTAAGCAGGACCTAGACTTTTGGCTGTCCCTCTTCATGGAACCTATTAACGAAGAGGCCTTTAATTACAAGGATAAGCGCACTAGCTAATTTTGCGCTTGTCGACACCCTACAATAGGTAAAGAAGATATTCTAGGGTGCTACTCTCTGTATATAGTTCGGAACTCTTTCTAGATCTAACCTTAGGCGCAGTACGGACGCACTAGTACATAGAGTTATTCTAGACTTGTGTCGCAATCTCCTTTGTGCACTTATCTACATTATTAAACGCACCTTGCTAGCATCGTAAGATAATCTTTCTAATCTCGCTAAGAGATTTAGTCTTAGGAAATTCCCTACGAACATATTAAGCTATAACCTCTTCTTCTCGTAAAGAGTCGCTGTCTTTATCTACACATTCTGTCCTAAGGTTATAGTACGGAGGCGTTCCTGTCTAGATGTAATAAAGTACTAAGCCGAAAGCAAAAATATCTGCTTTAACAGATAGTAACGGGCCTGGATATCTATAATTTGCCCTTATTACGTACATTAGGGGCGAACCGTCTATTAAAGACCTAGCGAAATTACCAAGTTAGGCATCCAGGTTAGTCGCAAGAAAAACGTTTGCACAGGTTAGGTCTCTATATACAATTCTTAAGGCATAGAGATGTAAAAGCGCGTTTGCGATCTGCTTTAACTATTAAAGTTAAAGCTCTCGTGTAACGTTAGTAGGACTTAATAAGAAATTCTTTACGGTAGATTTCGGAGCGAACTCTAGACGGATCCCCCTTAGAGTTGAAGAGGATTAGTAGTAGCCGTGGAATTCTAGAAAGCCTAGGTGGCTAGTTTGGGCTAGTCGCTTATATATAGATAATTTAAGGTTAATAGACGCCTAGTCGTCTTCGTAATGCGGTAACTTAATAACCGTGTTTAATGCTCGATTAAGGACTACTAAGCTAGATATGCTATACGCAACGAGGTCGTGCCGCCTAAACTCTTTTAGCTACTTAATGCTTTCGTATATTCCGCAGGATGAAGGCAAGAAAGCTAGCGTTAGGAAATAAGTATGTTAGGCCGCTTATGTAGTGGGTTGTTTGTCGAACCGCGGTGGGCTGGATTAATAGAAGATAATGGTTAAGGAAGAAAGGCGGAGCTGGAGACAGCCGGCCTTGGTTTTCGGGTTCGAAGTGGGGCGGTGCGGATTAACATAAGGACCGAGACGCGTTGCCCTACTGCCTAGGCATAGCTGCCGGCAAAATCGCAGCTAACCCGATTAATCTTATAGACAAGTCCCTTAGTAATCGTCTAATTAACCTATTCTTATTGCTATATAGTCTTAATTAATGCTAATAAAGGTATTCCCCTCTTCTAGCACAAATAAAGGTTGTCGTTGTTAGAGTTTAATCGCTAAGCTTCCTAATTAGGCACTAGCGCCACTGGCGCTACAGAGACTTCTTCGATTTCTCGGAGCTATATACACTTAATATAATACACCTTACCCTAATATGCTATATTTCTTACTTGCCTACTTTAACAGTACTATCCCAGCTTTAGAGGACCGCAGGGGATTCGCGCCCGTTTCTTAACAGCCGTGCATGGGTTCTGCTCCGTTCTTAGTCCTATTGTTATCGCAGCGCCGGGCCCATGAGGCTTATTTTAGTTTTCTGCCTAAGGCTTCCCTAACGGCAACTTCCGCTAGACTTATCCTGCGCAATAGCTTACCTACTTGCTAAAATGCTCTACATGCTTTAACGCTTACTAAGTCTTACTTGCTTGTATTTAATAAGGCGGATATGTAGAGAACCTCTTAAAGCTAGTTACATATAATATAGAAGTGGGCGAGTTAAGATAGATTCTACCTTATAACATTC